CCATATAACGAATTACTAACTTTAGCCAAACGACATTTAGGTAAAATCATTTTGTTATTGTTGCGTAAGCTTTTATTAGTGAAATCACTAACTCTTTTGAAACAGTCTATATTCTTCCTGGTACACATGATAGATGAGAGACAAATAATCATACTCATGTATACAAATGATTGTGCCGTGCGAGGAATCGAGCCCGCGACCATTGGATGTAAAGCGGTGTGCTAAAACCACTAGACCACCGCGGCTGTCAATAAATTCCTAGGTATAACATTAACAACGCATTGGCCTATTTCTACTATATATATATAACACAAAGCTTTACCAACGTTTATCGAAGTGTATTTATAACAAATTGACGTCTATTTATAGTCCACGGCCTGACACCGCAATGTTTATAATTTCTTATAATTTTAGAATTCCATATAAACATATATGATACATATATACATATATGATCAGTATTATCTGTGATACAGTGGAATATTATCTTATCTGTATTACCACAGGGTAATATACAGACAACGGCCTCGGTAGTCAGCGGTTTAGCACTTCGATAGTCGCGGGTTCGATTCCTCGCACGGTACAAACATTTTCATGAGTATGATTGTTTGTATCGGTCTGGGTGTTTACTATGTATGTGTTTATGAGAATTGATATATATGTATATATTTGTAACAGTTATATAGCCCATAACACAAGCTTTAGCTAGCTTAACTTGGGACTAGATGGCGCTGTGTGAATTGTCCTGAGATTATTATTATTATTATTTCTTCCAACATTTCGTTTCCCATTTTCATTTTACACGTGAAAAAATATGTCATAAGTCAGTCGAAAACGTTAAATTTCATTTGTACAAAATTAACGATAATAATGTTTTTATAGAAAAACTTAAAATCCATAGCACTGTCAATATTATCTGATTACACTAATAATGAGTGCGTAGCGATTTCTATGATGATTATCGCATGCCTCTTACTTATTATACTGTAATTATTTATATAAAAAAACATCTATTAAAAAGAGCAACACACAAGTTTCTTGCTCATTCTTCTTGTGATGAATCTGCATTCCGAATGAGTGGTAGAATCAAAATATAACCATTCAAAAGTGCTTGTAATGAGTTTATTTGAATAAAGATTATTTCTATTTCTATTTCTATTGTAAAATTCGTATGTTTCAAATAACTCTAGCTATATTTTTGGTGTCTGAAAAACTGGATCAAACCACGAAACCACGTCATTGGGTTCAGTACTAAATTATTAATAAATTGATTAATACGATACTGAAATTTATTAATACATAATGCTAAAATCAGACGGGGTTACTCATGTTTCCGTATATAAATATTCGGTCGTCAGTTTGTTCAAATCTGTACAGCCATCAAGTGATTGTTGATGTAGCTATTTGACTATAAAACCACAATATATCCATGACTATCTGCATTGGAATGTAAACACTTAGATTACACATCGTTTTTTTTTAAACTCCAATAGTAAACACAATGGCAAATCCTAGTAATATTATAAACACAAAAGCCTCTAAATGAAATGAAATGAAATGAAATGAAATGAAATGAAATGAAATAAAATGAAATGAAATGAAATGAAATGAAATTAAATGAAATTAAATAAAATGAAATGAAATGAAATTATTTGTTATAAAATGTATGTATGTACTACCATAATAGATGGTATGGTTATTTATGTCATATAGATCTCACTTTTAGTCTTTACAGACAAGCAAATACATATTTGAATTAATCTATTATTATTCTTTATACAATTCAATTAAATTACATCTTATACATTTATTATTATTATAGAAAGTAATAAAATTATTTTTATAAAACTGTTATATATTCATTAGGTAGTATAGATTATTAGGCACATTGATTGAAGTAGAAAAAGTATAATCCATCACATTTAAAATAAGTATTTTAGAATAGAATAGAATAGAAAATCATTTATTCAAATAAACTTACATTGAAGCACTTTTGAATAGTCATAACATTTTTTTTTAATCTACCGCTCATTCGGAATGCTGTCTCATCACAAGAAGAACAAGCAAGAAACTTGTGTGTTGCTCTTTTAAATAATTTATTCTTACTTACAATTTAAGTTTAAGTGTGTGAATACAAACCACCGATTAGCACTAATTCAATGAAATAATAAAATAGAAAAAAAATTCAATATACAACAACTGGTTAAACAATTAATAAGAGAAAATAAGTCATAGTGATTAGAGCAGACCAGTCCACACAAGCAGCACCCATTCACGAGTATGACGGATGAGCCAGCCACCACTGCGCTCGACCATATTTTAGGGAGCCCAATGATGTTTGTTGCTAAGTAACAGTTTGTATGTAACGTGCAACTGCGATCGGAACGAAAACAAATTATATTTACTGCTACATTATATATGTAATCCACAAAAACATCTCCATCATGGATGGACAGATGGTGGTTTGTTACTCTTTCACGCAAAAATGGCTGAATGGATTTTAATTAAACTTTACAATAATATAGCTCATACATCAGAATAACAGATAGGCTATAAATTTCACGCGGGTATATACAATAAATAAATAATCCTGGACAATTAACACAGCGCCATCTAGTCCCACGGTAATCATACTCATGAACACAAATTGCACCGCGCGAGGAATCGAACCCGCGACCGACTGAAATAAGGCGGTGTGGTACAATATCTACAAAATTAAATAGAATTAAAGTGTCGAATTTGTTTCTATTTCTAAAACTACCAGTTGAATTAAAAAACTTATTAAAATGTGTAGTATTTAGAATAACAATATATACAAATAAATAAAATTTAGGTGTCTGTTTGTAATTTCAAAATAAGCGTTTAACTAAATGCATATAAATACGGTAATTATAATACATAAAAAAAAATAATAAATTCTTGTTCGTTCTTGCTAGTCTCTGAAATGATTGGACCGATTTTGACGAGATTTGCACTTGTAGATAGCAAATAGAATAGAATAGAATAGAAAATCATTATTCAAATAAACTTACATTGCAGCACTTTTGAATAGTCATCACATTTTTTTTTAATCTATTTTAAATATTATAAGGAGATAACTTACACTACTTTTTTTTTTTAGTTTTGTTTTTACTAATATTATTTATTCTTTAAATTATAAATATTTGCATAATGATGTCATAAGGAATTGTTTGTAAAAAACTTTATTCAAATTCTATGTGGGTATTTATAATAAAAAAAAAACCCAAAAATTCTAAAGGACAGACTCCACAGTTTTTGGGGGTTTTTCTTTATTGGGAATAGATTTTTTTAAGAAATATTTCCTCATTGTATGCTGTATAACTATTGATGATAATGATATGGTTGTGGTTTTTGTTAAATATAGTCTTAAAGAGTTCCTTTGTACTTTTTAATCCTTACCTAATATTATAAATGCAAATAGTAACTCTGTCTGTCTATCTCGCTTTTACGCAAAAACTACTGAACTGATTTAAATGAAATTTGGTACACAGATGGTCTACACTAGGGTAGGGGAACCAATGGCACGCGTGCCATTGACGGCTCGCAACACAATATTTTGGGCACGTCGTCGATCATACAACTGTTTGAAGAAGCTGGCTCATGCTATTTTAACAATATTTTCACCTACCTATGCCTGCGAGTCATTATTTTCAGAGATGAATAACATCAAAAACTCGGTTAGAAACCGTTTGACAGATGAATCCAGTTCAGCATGCACTTTGCTAAAAGTAACATCGTACAAGCCTGACATAAATTATTTGTCATCTAACCTGCAGCAACAGAAGTCACACTAATTTTACAGTAATTTAATTTATGTGTGTAATGAAACAATCCAAAATGTACCTCTTTTGTTTACTTTATTTCATAGAGAGTTTTGATAGTATTTATTATTATTATTTTCCAAATAATCAGAAAGTCAAAATTATTTGATGGCACGTCATTGACCCCATTAAACAATTTTTGGAAAAAATGGCACGTTGATGCAACTTTTGGAAAAATAGCACGTAATTTTTTGGAAAAAATGGCACGTTGATCCCTGGTCTAGACCCTGAGAAAGGAGATAGGCTACTTTTTAATGTGAAAAATGAGTTATAAGGGGTTGAAAAGGTAGATGAAAGGTTGTATGAAAGTGTCGTCATTTTTAAAGCTTTTAAAAATGAAGTAAACAAGTACATGTATTTGTTTACTTATTACTTTGATTTTTTTTCTTCTCTTTACATTGTCTTAAATTAAAGTTCTGTACAATCTCTTTTATACATTTAATTTTTTTTTAACTTGTATTCAAAAGTATTTAATTTTTTTTGTCATTCCTTTATATACACAACTGCAAATGTACTAAAAATGTTTACAGAATGTTGGAAGGAACTGGCTTTCATGGCACAGGTTCACCTATATCGAAAGCCAGGGCTAACTATATTTAATTGTACCGTACATTTATGAATAAAGTTTATTATTATTTAAAAAAAAAATGTATGATTTCATACTAGAATCTCTTTATAACACTTTTTCAGTATCTACACTCGATTCGGTTCACACTTTATTTTTTAATGTTATATAAATATTTATAAGCTTTTTATTTCTAAATTAAAATAGGCGACATCAGTAATAGCAGGTATTAAAAAAACGTTAAAAATAATTAAGTACAATCATTTCAACAATTAAGTGAAAAACCCCTAAATCACTCACTAATAGTTTGTCGATTAACTATTATAAATAAATTAAGATTAATAGTTAATTACTTTGTTTAAAATGTATACTTAAATTTATATCGGTAACGTCACGCGTCAACTGGTAGAGATAACGTCAGAATACGTACCGCGCCTTCGTTATATCTATGTATTATCTAACTCGCATATACAATATCTGTACCACAGATAACAATATTACTAATCTGTAGTAGGCAGTAGGACGCGGCGAGTAAACAAACAGTGTAGTCTCGTGCATAGTAGGTCTAATAAAGAGCTCCCAACGCTCGCCGCGCATTACCCCGCGAACTGTCGGCCGCTACGCACGCAGCCATGATAGATCACCCGCGTGGTTACGATCAAAACATGTGCAACCTCTACCTACCATCCACTACCCCGGAACACGTACGCCTCGACGAATTCGGAGTCTTCAAAAAGGGAATGCCCATTATCTACAGTAACTACTACACCAATGCCGCGATTCACGAGCCCTATCCCGACCCTGAGTATGATGCTATCGGCTCTGTGTACACTAACCTGACTGCGAGCACTCAAGATTACCATCGCGATGACTGGAAGCACAAAATCATCGGCAATTGGAACGAAGATGACTCCCTCGCCTGGTTCGTGGATACTATACAGCTGTTCGGCATTAATGAATACGATGTTCCGTCACACAACTTCAGGATCCCGGGGATAGAACTCAAAGGACTGAGAAGAGAGGATGTCGTAGCTAGAATGATGATGCCGAGCGTGGATTCCTCGTCTAGCAGAAGGATAGGAGACATGATATATGAGAAACTACAATACAGATTGAATGAGGAGTCTGCAGTGTTTAGATACGGTGATGGTGAATTATATCCCCATCCGGATTCAATGCAGACCATGCTCGACTTAGACACCCTGGACCACAAGAACAGATATCCGTCAGATTACAGACCAAACGATGGTAGTCTCCTACAACCGCACTGTGACAGCGACGACGCTGAAGAAGTGTTCCGCGGCTCAGATACAGGATCCCCCTTATACTACGGGAGCGATGGTAGCAAATCTAGTGATGAAGACGACAAACGCAAACAAAGATTTAAAAGACCACCAGGAAGACCGAAAGGCAGCGGCCGGAAGGTCTGCAAGCGTCCACGCAGCGTCTCCGTTCCGGAATTCCTGAGGAATCTCTTATTCGATCCTAAATATTGTCCGGCTATTATAAAATGGGAGGACCACTCACTCGGCAAGTTCAGGTGAGTGTTTATTTATTTTGTTGTACAATACATGTAGCCTTGACTCGGTGCAAAAAACGACATGTCGTGACTGAACCATTTGCCAACCATACATCTCATCATATAACTCTATAACTCATACATTATTTATCACGTCGCGGGCACGTGGCAGCACACGTTGATAATAAACTATTTTACAGCTCAACTATTAGATACTTCAATAGCAACAACTATTGTATGCAAGCGATTCATATGATCGCATTGGACATAAACCTGAAACGATTTACCTTCACCCGTTCAATTGTCTATATTTACAAAATGCGCTCGTTTATTTATTCTCTAATCATTGTTTTAATCAGATATTGTAGGGTCAGGTGTCATTATTATATACGCTAATTATTCGTCTCTAATTATACAGGCATCCTTGAATATAATCAAACAGGTCTCAGAGTATAGTAACGATGCATAATCAATATAATTGCAGTTAAGCCAATGCATGACAGACGGCCGCTAATTCTGTTGCAATAAAATGTGTATCGGAAATTGCGTGATTCATAGATATTGGTATCAATATAGGATAGTATAGACATAATCTTTACACAAATAAATTTAATATAAACACTTTTGAATAGTTATATTTTTATGACTCTACCACTCAATCGGAACGCAGACTCATAACAAAAAGAATGAGCAAGAAACTTGCGTGGCTCTTTTAAATAAATAAACATTAACAAGGACGAGGTATGCGACAGTTAAAATAGAAACTAATATAATCTTTAAATACTTTATTATTCCTATAATCTGTGATTCTTGTATATCAGACTGCAATAAAGTTTTTATTGTTTGAAACTCGACAGAAACACACGAGTATGTTATCGGTCGAATAAAATTATCGCTCGTGTCAAAATAAAAAAAAACTAGAGCAATTTCATATTATGATAAACACAGCTCGGTTTAATGTAAACTGAACAAATGAAGTTTTTAACCGACTCCAAAAAAAGGAAGGGAAGCTGTATTTTATACTTTTTATAATGCTTGTTACATCATAACCGTTATGAAATATAAAAAATTCTTCGTAAAACTATACTTTCAAATCGGTCCCACTTGTTTTTATCTGGAGTCGGTTTTCTTAGAATATTATAATAGAAAAAGTTTAAAAATTTGGTAAAAAATCTATACTACTGTAATAGATCGGTGGACTGTACGACTGTCCAAATGATGAAAACACGTAGCTTATAATAATATAATACATTAATATGCAGTTGCGAACTATCAAAAGGACAATGAGTGAATAATACAATAAAGTGAATTATATCAAATAACATGACATATAAAAAAGAACTCTTTAAAAATATAAATTTAAAAAGAATAAACATATCAAAGGAGTTTGTGGCGGTCGGTCGCCAACAACTACTTTACAATGGGTAATAACCCAAAATAGAGTTATGATGTGTCTCTATTTATTTTTGCTTATCTCTGAAACGTGTGGACCGATTATGACGAGACTTTCACTCGCAGATAGGTATTTTATAAATATCAACTTATACTATTTTTTTTGGAAAATTTATGTGTTTTAATACAAAAATTTTAATATACACCCAATCACGGGTATCAGCGAATAATTAAAAAAAACTTTCTTTATCATCAATTTATCGAGAAGTATAAAATAAGAGAAGCATGATGAAATTATAATACAATATTGAGTAAAGCAAACTGAATGACAGATAGCAAATAAACTGAAAATAATTTATCATTAATTATTTAGTAAATCCAATATTGCGTTCAAATTGTATGAATAGTCGACTGAAATCGACGAAGTTAACTTTCACTACTTCAAACTTTGTGCCTTGATACCGTGCCTTTCCGGGCCTCGGTGGTCTAGCGGTTAAGCACACTGTACTTCCGATAATCGCGGGTTCGATTCTTCGGTACAAACTTTTGTATTCACGAGTATGACTGTTCGTATCTGTACTATATATGTATATATTATGTGTGTATTTACAAAAAATATATATATATGTATGTGTTTATAACAGTTGTCCAGTACCCATAACACAAGCTTTAGCTAGAGATGGTGCTGTGTGAATTGTATGTATATATTTACAAAAAAATCTTATATCAGTTGTCTAGTACCTGCTATATTAATTTATTATATTAGCTATATTAATAAAACAAGCTCTGCTTAGCTTGGTTCTAGATGTCACTGTGTGTATTGTCCAGGGTTACTTGGTTGTTCTATAATGAATATAATAATATAATAATAATAACAATAATAATGTTTGCTTCTTTTTGACCAATATTTATTACATGTCCAATTATTTATAATATAAACAAATGCATCTCAGCGATGATACTCCATCTTGATGACTCAATCAGTTTATTCAACTATTTTTATTAAAATTACTTCTAATTACATTAATCTACAGTTTAAATTCAATTGCAGCCATTACAACTTTATTATAGCAATAAATTGTGATCTAATAAGTTCATTAATGATTAATATATATAATATAACTAGCAGACCCGGCCACACGTTGCTGTGGCTAACAGTTTCATTATATATTAAAAAAATGCAATAAAATAATATAGCGACTATAAATTGAGATGTAAGCTATCCTATCTTTCAAGTTGGATCAATTGCACACAATGTGTAAATCAAATTTGCAATCGGTTCAGTAGTTTAGGAGTCCATCGCGATCAAACAAAGTGACACGTAATTTTTATATGTACATGAAGATATTAAATATATATACATACTTGATAATTTATTATTTATATAAATACTTACTATCTGACCCAGCAAACGTTGTTTTGGCATATAAATAAATATTGCTATTAAAAAATAGGTAACTAGGGTAGAAAATGGCTGTAACTATTTTTAAACAACAAATAATAAAAAATAAATTGTCCAAAAAAAACCAATAAAATTTGGGTGTGACAACCCATATCAGTTAGGGATATGAAAAATTGTTTACCACCTATTCTCACTTCTAACGAAGTGATTAAAGAGAGAATAATAAAAAAATTGTCATAAAAAATTTAGGGTCATGAAAATCATTTAGGGATATAAAAATAGTTTATATCGTATTCGCAAAGGTACTGAATATACTCACAAAATTATATAACAATTGGTCGAGCCTTGTTACAAACACTGTGACACGAGAATTTTATATATTAACTTATTCTTGCAATGCAAGCTAGGAAAGTAGAAAAAAGTAGAGTATAGTATCCTTTTTTTTTAATTAAGTTGTTCTCACTCTCTTACCTTTTCTTTTCTTTAAGAAAATCTTCAAATAACAAGACCATAAAATCGCTCATTGGAAATTCCGGCTATAATATAAATGTGAAAGTTTGTCAAGTTGTTTTGAAGTTTATTACATAATAGCACTTTTAAAAAATGTTACATGGACGAATGAAATTTGGTACTATTGGAGAAAATGTTGAATTAACACATAAATAGTTTTAAGTTTCAATCCATATGGATAAAGAAATAAGATATGGTTTACAATTTTAAACTTAATTGTAAACTGGTATCATCACATAATCGAATTAATAAGAAATTTCATGAAATAATTTCACAATATGTTCAGAACCCAATTTCGTGACTCTAGAGTAAGTATTTATAGGTCTGGTACTAAACCGTCATTAACTAAGTTATTTTAACCACAACCTTTATCTGTATCAGAGTAGAAATCTTACAAAACTCAAATTATTTATACGTATATTTATAAATACATATTATAAACGCAAAAGTTTGTGAGCTTGGAAAGATGATACATGGACTTGTCTCTCATTCACGCAAAAACTACTGAACCGATTGTCATGAAACTTTACCTGCCACTTTGACAGCCTCGGTGGTCTAGAGGTTTAGCACACCGCTGTACTATCCGATGGTCGTGGGTTCGATTCCTCGCACGGTACAAACATTTGTATTCATGAGTATGATTGTTTATATCGGTCTGGGTGTTTTCTATGTATAATATGTATTTATTTACAAAAAAAATGTATCCATGTATTTATATCAGTTGTCTAGTACCCATAACACAAGCTCTGCTAGATGGCGCTGTGTTAATTGTCCTGAAATATTATTATTATTCTCTTTACCGTAATGTAGCTTATACATCAGAATAATAGACTAGGCTAAAATTTTAAAAGATATATAAAAGGGTACGTGTAATGCAGATAAGTTTAAGAGTTAGTTGAAAATATAGAACTGATTTAGACGTGGTTTGTATCCGGATAATAATCTTCGGTGCGGTCCGGATAATGATGCAAAGTAGCGGGTTTAGTTTATCTTATAATGACTTAGTGTCATGAGTGCTCTAATTATGAATGACACGCGAATCTTAAAATAATCACTCCAATTAATTACTAAGACAGAACAAGCACTCAAGAGAGAATTCTAAGAAAAATAGACAATTTAAAACTTTATTGAACATAAAAAATATAACAATTGTGGCAAAATCAGTTTGTTGTTGATATAAAAGAAAACTTAATTGATTGTGAAAAGTATATTTTCAGATTAGATAAATAATAGATATATGTACATAGATAAAAAAGTTCTGTCCGGGTTACGGTCATTATTTGCTTTTGACAAAAATACGATAGCATATGCTGGTGGTCACTCTTTCTCCATAATTTCATTTTAAAATTAATGTGTATTTTAGTAAAAATACAAGCTCATTTGAAAAGAATACGAGCTGAGTTTCTTGTCAGTTCTTCTCATCTCGAAATCATTCCGAACTGACAGTAGATTTGACATATCATAAGAGTCTATAATAGACTTGCATGAATAAAGATATTTTGAATTTTACTATCTAGCATATTCTTACATTATTTGTATGGGTTTAATTACAAGTCAAAGGGTTTAAACTGAATGTAAGAATTTACAATTCAAACTAGGTGTCTGCTCTAGTCAATTGCGTTGAAACCAAATGAAACTTGGTTCCTAGTGTAACTTCAAAGGTTCAGAATGTTAATTGTGATCCATCAACTATAATAACTTACTTTTTATCACCTTA